TGTTCTGTGTCCCTCTCTCCATGAAGACTCCACCATTCACTTAGCTGCCCAAGCCTGACACCTGGGGGCCAGCCCTGGCTCTCTTCTCTCCTTGCCCCCTAGACCTTTCTCCCACCCCTGCTCCCCAGCAACCATAATCTTGGGCCATCACTACTCCTCAACCAGCCTGCTGCCTTGCTTCCCAGGCTTTTGTGCATGCTGGGTTCCCTCTGCATGGACCATGTCCCTTCTCTGCCCATGCTCTTCGCCAACCCCTTGTGTGCTCCTGAGATGTTACCTCCGGCTAGTCTAGATCAGGTGACCCTCCTTTGCACCCTGTGCGTTCGCTGCTGTAACGTGTAACCGTGTTGTGATCGCTGGTTACCTGTGTGACCTATTCCCTAACCGGATGCTCTCTCTGGGGGAAGGGAGATGGAAATCACATCTGTCTTTGCCTCCTGGAGCTGCTTTGTGGCAGTGGGACTCCCTTGCCTCTTCTCCTCCCTCTTGGCTTGGGTCAGTGGGGGAGTGTGACTTGGGAGGTAGGACTGTTCACTCCCTGTTCCTTCCCCGTGGGGCCACCGCCTGACAGCAGCTACATCCCCTCCCAATCCCCGGCCTGTCCCCAGCTCTGGCCGCAGCCTCAGCTCCCTGAGTCCGAGGAGCTGCTCACTTCCCTGGCGCAGCATGCTAGCAGCCTCCTGATGTTGCTAGCCCGAGGGTGCATTCCCACACTGACCTCCCTACCCCCTGTGCCCTGCTTGACCTCTGTAGTGGCCCTGTGCCAGTCTGGTGCCCCTCCCCCCCAATTCTTGTCCTTCCCGGTACCGCAGAATGTGACCTTATTTGGAAATAGGGTGGTTGCAGATGTAGTTAAGCCAAGGTCCTATTGGAGTAGGGTGTGCCCCAAATCCAATATGACCAGGTCCTTGTAAGAGGGGAGACACAGAGACACAGACACATGGAGGGAAGTGAGCACAGACACGTGGGAGATGCAGTGTGATGGCAGATCAGAGCCATGCATCTACACGCTAAGAAAACACCAAGGATGGCCAGCAACACCAGAACCTAAGAAGGGCCTGAAACAGATTCTTCCGTGGAGACTTCAGAGGGAGCACAGCCCGGCCAACACCTTGATCTCAGGCTTCTGGCCTCCATAACTGTGAGACCATGAATTGCGGTTTGAAGCTACCCAGTTTGAGGTACTTTGTCACGGCAGCCCTGAGACATGAATATAAGCCCCTTCCTCACGCTCACATGAGTCTCCCTTTGAGGGGACTGGCCTATTCTTGCCACACGGCTTTTGCTCTATGAACTTTTCAAAGTCAAGGCCCCTTGTTGACTCTGAGGCCTCAGTGCCTGGCACAGGGCTGGCCCCTATCGGCAGTAAACACCTGTTGGGTAAGAATGAACGTGCCTCTCATTTGGTCTGTTCCTCTTTTACTGAAATAATATCAAAACAAAGTTAAAGCAAGCATGGACGTTTTGGGTTAAAGCAGAGGCCCACCCAGGGCAGGTGTGTTCAGCTGACAGCCCCATGTCTGGCCCCACTGGGTTCACCCATCTGGAACCCCGGCCCTGGGCTCAATAGGTGTTAGCCCGAGGGCACACCACCTAGGGCCTAGCACACCTTGTCATGACTTTGAAACACTGGATTGGAAAAGGTCAGCTGGATTGGAATTCACTCTATTCTCACAAGAAATCTCCATATTACATGTCAATGAAAGAAAAGGAAGAGCTGTTAGATTCTTTATCATTTCAACTGTTGTAAAACTTGTGATTGTAAAAAATAGCTTTAAAGTTACCTACGGCACCTGGGTGGCTCAGTCAGTTAAGTGACCGACTCTTGATTTCGGCTCAGGTCATGATCTCAAGGTCATGAGATTGAGCCCCCTGCATTGGGCTCTGCGCTCAGAGGGGAGTCTGCTTGAGATTTCCTCTCTCCTTCTCCCTCTGCCCCTCCCACGCTCTCTCTCTCTCTCAAATAAATTAACAAAATATTTTTTAAAAATTTCTAAAAAGTTACCTAGTTGCACAGAGACAGTGTCTCAGTGGTGATGTCCCAGCTGTCCCCTCTGTCCTGAGCTTGCATGCAGCCAACTTAACCATAAAACCTGGAATGTTCATTGAAGCAGTCGCAGGTTCTCATTTCAAAGTGCGAACTGTTTTATTTGGAAGTTTTATACAAATTTATTATCTCCCCTACTACATTTTTTTGGTGTTTCTTATAATCATATAAAAGATTAATATTTTATAAAAGATTAATATTTTAATCTTTTTGAAATTAAAAGACTGAATATTTTCAGCAAATATGCTATAGACCATCCTGGCCCTCTCTGGTTTTCCACAGTGTGCCATACAAATACTTCCTCTGAGAAAGCTTGTGTACAGGGACTGCGGCCTTCTGAGTCAGGGCATGACCCCTGAGTATCTCCCCAACTACATTTAGAAATAGCTAGTACCAAGTCACTGTGATAAGTCAGGATAAACTGGTTTCAGCTGCCCCCAGGAAATGCAGAGCAGGCCGCCTGAGAGGACAGAAATACTTGAGCCCAGGAGGAAAGGCTGAGGCGGGGCGGACGCCACTGTGTGAGAAAGCACGCCTCCTGGAGGCGACAGCACTGTCCCGAAGCTGGGGCAGGAAGCCGCAAGAGTGGGGGCAGGCCTCATCCGGCTACTAAGGGACCAGGTCTTGTTCCTGTGGGACAAGGGGCACTGTGAGGGGTTTCATCAGGAATGACAGGCTCCCAGCTGCTTTAGGAGGGCAATTTGAGGCAGTGAGTGGGTGTCTGAGGGAGAGCTGGGAAGTGGGGGGCTAGTACACACTTTCAGTGAGAGAGCAGGAGCCCTGAGTAGAACCCATGGGAGCACCAGAGGATGGGTGGTTTGGGGAGAGAAGGGAGCCAGACGGGGCTCATTTGGGGATCACCAAGAACAGATAGTAAGGAAAGGGAGAAAGAACTGGCCCAAGGGAAAAAGAAGTTGAGAGGCCTGGGGCCATCTCACTTGCCGGAGGAGGAGGCCCAGCAGGTGTCCTGTGGCTGAAACCCTGGGGCCCCCGGAGGCTGGCAGGTTTCCTTTCTGCATGGAGAACGCTTCTCAAAAGCCAAAGGGGACATTTGCATGGCTCAGTCGGTTAAGTGTCCGACTCTTGATTTCGGCTCAGGTCATGATCTCAGGGTCCTGGGATAGAGCTCCGCATAGCATCTGGCTGGGCATTCAGTGGGGCGTCTGCTTAGAATTCTCTCTCCCTCTGCCCTACCCCCCTTACCTCCCCACCCCCCAGCCCCGCGCACACTCTCAAAAAAAAAAAAAAAAAAAGGCAGAGAAGTGGTGTATTCTACACAACTCCGTGAACAGAAAAGGATAGCAGAGCGTTCTAGAAACAGAACAGGCTGCAGGGGAAACCGTGAGGCCTGGCAGGGGAGGAGGAAACCTTCTCCAGACTGGGCTGAGGGAGATGTTGGGCCGGGCAGGCTGTGTGCCCAGACCCACTGTCCCTACAGACCTCTGGGCATTTACAGTGAGGCCTTGGATTGCTTTTAGCCATAAGCATTGTTTTTCTTGTTGTTGTTGTTTTGTTTTGTTTTTTATAACCAGGGGCAGCCTCCTTCCTGGAATTTCATCTGCAAAATGTGTTTTCTGCTTCACTTTGCTCTCCCTGGGAGGTTCAGTTCTGGGACCTGGGCGCCTGGGCCCAGTTCGGATGCTCTGTGTCTACTGTGGGTGCCTGTAGGAATATAATCGGGCCCTTCTGGGGGCTGCCCAAGGTCAGAATGGGCCCTAAGTGAGAGTGGGATTCAGAGAACAATTGTTCTGGGATGTAATGGGAACTGTGAGGGCACCAGCGAGGTGCCATGGACGCAGGTGACTGGAGCCAGACTGGGCTTCTCCAATCTAACCGTCTGAGCTTCATGTCATGCACAAACAGGTGTGACTAAAGAAGGCTCAATAGCGCCTATCTGTGGGCCCCTTTTGACTCAGAAGAATGCTAGTTTTAAGATTCTGACCGTTGAGAAGGGGCAGTGGGAATAAAAGCAAGTAGACCAAGGCACACCCTCTTTAGCGCTGGGCCTTCCAGGGGGCGCGTCGCTTTACTGCTTGTGGGTCAGACCCACCTTGAGGACTAAGGGCCCAGGGGGAGCTCCGTTGGCCAGTGGAGAACAAGCCAGTAATTGACCGGGAGCCCGCCGGCAGGTGCAAGGACACGAGCCGGCCGCCAAAATCCCGAGCTGGGCCCGGGGGGTGGGGGGCGGCCTGGGGGCCCCTGCAGCCGGCGGGCGAGCAACGCCACTCGCGTGCCCCCCACCACCCCGGGGCTGTTTGGGACCCTGGGCGCGCCCCGGGGCCGGGGGAGGATCGGGGGAGGGCGGGGAGGATCGGAGGAGGGGGATGAGCCGGAGGGGGAGG